GATAGATAGATAGATAGATAGATAGATAGATAGATAGATAGTAGCAATCAGCCAAGAATGTAAATAATTACAGATAATGGTTATATTATGATATCATTGAATATTTATTAGTCTTTTCCACAATAAATATTCCTAGATGATACCCTGATAAAAGCCCCATTCTTTCTTAATAGGTGGCAACAAAAAACATAGAAGAAAACCAGGATCCAATCAATGAAGAAACCGAGATTCTATTTCTCACCATAGTGTCCTGAAGCTGTGATCTGAGAGTCAGCAACATATCCAGAAGCTAAGCCCAGAGGACTCTGGCAATCTGAAACCAAAGTGTAAAAGTAGGTCATTTTTGAAAAATCCCAGCTGGAGCAAAATGAAACATTTAAACTTTTTCTCAGTATAGGGTTTAACAGTACAGGACAAATAGGCAACGTACGAAAGATAGATAGATAGATAGATAGATAGATAGATAGATAGATAGATAGATAGATAGATAGATAGAATTTCAAATTCATCCTTAATATTTGAAATGTGTAATGTTGCTGGTAGTTGTGGTCCTTCTTGACAAGGATGAATTTACACTAACCTCTTAACTCTTAACTCTTTGGCATAGCCCATTTTCTGCAGCTTGGACTACCGTTCCTATCACTTGCAAAGAGAAATGGGAATTGTAGTCTAACATATTGGAAAGGTACCAACTACAGGAAGGTCTAATGTTTAGCACTGTGTTGGGAAAAGGTTGCTGGCTTATAAAACAGTCCCATTTTGGAGACTTGTCCTGTTCTGCTTCCCAGATCTTGTTAAGACTTTGTATCTAGGTAGGGTATTTACAGGTATAAACGATGTTTTAGCACAAATCAAGGACCACGTTAGACATATCAGCAGCATGCTAGAGGCCTCATTGCAAAACGTAAAAGTGGCTAGGACTAAAATAGGTTCAACTGAATGTGATGTTAATTTTAATGTAATCCAAAGTAAATCAGATTAAAAACGAATAGGGCAACTTACATGCATTTAATCATTTTTGTTTTATGTCACATTAATAATTAGAGCTTGGCAACAACTTCTGGAGGGTCTCTGGGGCCACACCCACAGCTTTGCAGGGCAGGGAGCTGCCCTTTCTCCATCCTTCAGCATCAGGAACATTTCTCTAATAAAAGTTTGCTCAATATTTGTTTTTTCTCCTTGTTTTCTTAACTATTCTAAAAGCTGCTGGCGATGCGATGAAGTCGGGAGAAGCGGTTTAGTGAAGGAGAGAAGTTGAGTGACAGGAGCATTGGCCAATCAGGACTGAGCACAACCCTGCTTTGCACGAAATAGACCTTTGATATGGAATTAGAAAGTAGGAACTGCTCAATTCCTTACCTTTGTTGTACACAAGGAAGAGGGCACTCATTCCTGCCTGTTCATGCTCACTAACAGCACATTCCACCCGCCAAATCCCGGGATGAGATGGTCGCATTTCCACTGTCTCAAAGGCACCTGCCAGAGGAGTCAAGATTGATGCAGTCAACAAGGCTGCTAGATTTTACGGAACAAGATTTCATGTATCTTTAGGGGTACAGATGCATATAGCAGAGATCTGGGAGGATCTTCATCTAAAGAAAAAAACAACAGCTCAGGAAGGTGTTTACTTTGTTCCAAAAAGTGTCCGCTAATCTATAGGAAGAATTAGGGCCGTAGCTGAAGTCAGAATTTGGACTGGAAACAGTGGATCCCAGAACAAGTGTCTTGGAGTTCTGATCAGTCACATTTATTAGAAGGAAGGTTCAGGTTACAACACAAGAATTCCAACAAGTACTCTACTTTCAAATCCTATATAGGCAATTTAAGTCAGCAAAACTGGTCTCTCATCTCATGCTATTTTGGTGCAAGAGGAAGGAAGATTGTGTCTTGTGAAAGTGAGGCACTCTACATCTGTTGATTGTCTGGTAACTGCTGCTAGACTCTTATCACACTCTCCCTGCTGCATGTAATAGTTCAAATTCCATAAGCAAACTAGGAGAGGTTGGGCAACGTCTCTGTTCTTTCAATCTTCCCTCTGATTATATCAGGATAGTGTCGTGCCCATTTTACAGATTACTTTTAAGGATGATCAATACACTTCTAAAGCATTGATGGCATAATAGGGAGGAGGAGGAGGAGGAGGAGGAAGAGGAAGCTGCTTCAATGGATTGTGGATTCCTCACTGGGTTAGCTTTTATTTGCGCAATTTCTAGCCCACTGAACAAGTCCTGCTTAAGCAGAGACTAGACAACCATCTATCAGGAATAATCTAGCTGTTAAGACTCCTACATTGTGAAGGTGGTTGAACTGAATGACTTCTAAGATCCATTTTCATTTTATGGTTCTCCCAAAAATAAAGGGAGGAGCAGCCAAAGATGCCAAATAGCCCTCACTCATTTTAAGCTTATTTGTATCTCTGTAGATAGGTTAGCTCAGTGTTTCTCAACCTTGGCAAGTTTAAGATGTGTGGACTTCAGCTCCCAGAATTCCCCAGCCAGCCAGGGTGTGCGTGTTTAGCCACTCATACTGTGCCTCACCAGGGAAGAGGTTGTAGGTGGCCAAACGGTATTCCTCAGCCATTCTGATGCTGAAGACCTGCCCATGGAAATGGACAGAGTGGATGTCCTCAGCACCACCTGCGTTGAGCAGATACCACCTGACCCGCTGATGTAGTCCCATCACCAGCCCTGGCAACGTGTCTTTCACATGGCCATTGATAGCTGAGGAAAAGAAAATGGAGAATGCTCAAAGTCAGCCATGTCTTAATTAGCAATTTAGACCGTAAATACAGCTAAGGGAAGTAGGTTATGAGGCATCACAATTTATGTGTGGTGTGAAGGGAGACAGAATGGTCCTTCTTTTTCTCAGAAGACTGGAATTATTGGTCATTCCATGGAATTCACCGCCTAGGAAAAAGCATTGGGGGTGTCCCTACCAAAAAGAATTGGGGATCAGATTCCATGAGACGATTTATTTGGGAAGGGACAGCAGCCTGAACATTGTTTTCCTAACAATTTCATTGGGAACCTAGAAAGAGAAGCAGGAGAGGTGGAAAGGAGGTTCTTACCATAAAAGGTATGGTTGGTTTTAAGGGCAGGATCGTCCATCTGAATGTGGCAAGGAGGCGGGCAGTTCCTTTCCAAGTTCTCAGCAAAATACCAGCTCTTTGTTTCATCGAAGATGGTGAAGAGCAAGGAGAATTCTTGAATAGTCAACGGCCTTACATGCGTCGTGCGGAGCACCCCAGCCTGGCAAATAATCAGGGGCCCAATAAGACCAGAATGGAGGTCTTTTTCCTGGAACAGAAGTGGAAGGAAGAGAAGCAGAAAAAAAAAATGCCATTGCGTGAGAACTTTTTAAAAAAAGAACTTTAGTCCAGGAGCATCCAAGGAAACACATTAGAATGCTTTTGAAAGTATCTTTTTATTATTTGCTTTGATTGTTGTTAATATGTTTGGCTTTAATGTTGACTTTACCATTTATTGTAAACTGCTGAGCTCACAAAAGAGATATAATATGTTTTGCTAACTCAAGCCTCTTTCAATTTGGGCTGCAAGAGCTGGCTTAGTTAATAAGCCCATGTTGCATTATAAACCAGAAAACTGGGTATTTACAGTGACCATACATCCTTTATTATAAAGGTCAGTCCTTTATTTCAGAAAGCTGTCGATTAGATTTATTTATTTTTTGAAAACTCAGTTTTGTCCTTTATTTTGGTCATTTAACTTTTGCATAAGTTTAGGTTCCAAGTGGCGATCACGTGACCCTGGGATGCTGCAACCATTGTAAATACATGCCAGTTGCCAAGCGCCCAAATTTTGATCTTATGACCACAGGGACACTGCAACACTCATAAGTACTGTCCAATTCCTCAGGTCCAATGGGTTCAAATCATTCTCACATAACCAGGCAAGACTCTTCCTGAGGCATCTCCCCTGGACCTGCAACAAGGCCAGTGTCCAACTGCGAACAAATCTCAGTGACTTTGTCTGACAGATGTTGAACAATTCCTCCGCATGGCCCTGTGAAAGGTTCTTTGAGCCCCCCCACTTCCCAGGAGGGCTCATGTCACATGAAACAAGGCTTTGGGGCAGCTATCTGTGGATGCAGTAAACAATGCTCTACACATCTCTTCACTCGTTTCATCTCCCTCAACTCCTCCATGAACCATAGGGAGTGACGGGACCCCCAAGAGGGGAGAGGTCTGATACAATGCCTCAGCCGCCCCCTTATTCCAAGCAGCGACCAAGCCTTTGGATGGACCGTGCAGCAGACCAGCAGGAACAAGCCCCATCCGGGTCCATCAGTCGCCGGGGGATGGACCAATCTGATGGGTCCAGCCTCCCTGCAGTGGATAGTGGCACTGGAAGGATTTGTCCCTTTTTCAGATTTGTCCTTTATTTTTTTCCACAAAAATACAGTCACCTTATATAAATGAAACACCAAGTGAAGGGAAGTTTCTTGGAAAGCAAAATTAAAATTTGACCGAGGTCCTCTTCACTTATTTTGCACATCATTTTTTAGAATCAGGCAAACAGGGATTGTGGCTTTTAAAGCTGTGCAAATGGCCTGATCTGATTTTCAGGTTGCTGCATCTCTATACATTTGATACTGGTAACCTCAGTAGAAAGCCTGCACCCCTCATTTACCAGGTTAACACTGGAAAAGTATGCCCAGGCTCTGCAGTCAAATTCACTCATGGAAGGAGCCATTGTAGACAACACCTTGAGGGAGTATTGGCGAAGCTGGTTCGGCTGAACAGCCTCCGGCCTCCGCCGTTCTCCATCTTCCCAGCTCCCTTCATATGGCAGTAAGTTAGAATGGAAAGAATAGGGGTGGGAAGCCATGTTCTTGAAAGTCACCTAAATATAGGGAGAAACATACAAGAAGTAGAATTAGCACTTAGGTCAGCCTTACCAGGTGGATCAGACAGGAAATATGACCAGATAAATTAATTCTACTTTATTGTAAAGCTACATTAACAGAATCTTGCAAGTCTGAAAGTACAATTATCGCCATCATTTTTACATCCCAAGTACTTAGAGAGGGTATTTTCTGAGCCTTTTGGCCCATCCACTATGTAGCTATGGGCTAAGCTGCCTCTTATCTGACCATTCCTTGGCTGCATCTCTTCACCCTGTCTCCCAAGGTGATTACACCCACAGACTTTGGGCTATGGGAGGCCCTGAACCCTTCTTCTATTCCCTAGATACCCTGGAAATCTTAATATAGGAAACCAGCACCAAAACCCACTCGAAGCGAGGTTGGTTCCCACAGTGCTGGCCTTCAGGAAGCTGTTGGGAACAGAATTATTCCAGAGGCCCTTTGGTGACCCATAATGCCTAAATTGATTGTAACTGTGTCTGTGTTTTGAACAATTTAATGATTATTCATTTTCATTTAGGCTGTGGACATTTTATTTTTCTTTTTATTACTCTGGACTGTCAAGAGTCTTAGGACTGTGGTGAGTAAAAACAAGCAAATATAATCAAAGAGATGTGATTTCTCTGCATTTCTTCAAAAGCTTCAAAAAGCTGGTTTCATCTATCAGCTTTTAGATATGCTTTCCATACCTAAAATAGTAGAACAAACCAAATGCCAGATCCTGACATTGCTCCCACCACCTGATGTTATTGTGTTACAGCTACGTGGTTGGCTGGTTCAGATTTAGAGAAGGAATAGAAAGAGAACAGGGAAAAAACAAACCAGAACTGTGTTTTATTCCACAGCTCATCATGAGGTTCAGATTGTTAACCCAGGTTTTCAACTTGGAACTACTTTTCACATTTGATGCTCTCAGATACGGCACAGAAGGTAGGCAGAGATGTCAATAAATAGCAAATGTAGAAGGGGGATTTAAAAGGCAAAATATTCCTTTAAAAAAATCCAGTTTCACTATGAGGGATTTGACCCCCTACTATTTTCTACCCGCACATCAATATCTCACCACAATTGTATCATCAACCTGTCCCCGGATGTATGGCCCCAAAATGCCCAAATGCTCATCCAATTCTCCACGGACCATTGGTTGAGTAAAAGTGCTGTCTAAATATTCTTGGAAGACGACTTTCTTATAACTTCCAGAGAGCTTCCTCCAGCCGGACTTTGGGTCACTGTGCACAGAGCATAAGAAACTGGTGAGATGAAATGAAACCTTTCGTTTGCACCCAGAGCTAGACTAGAATTGTAATCTATGATATTTCTCCATCCTGTCAAGCCTTGTTAGTCTGACTTTCCCCCAAGTCATCTGTAGTTATTTCTTCTTGGACTTTCTGGTTTCATTTTCTAAGTATGCTTCTCACAGTCTTCTGTGAACATGTCCATTCCAAAATTGGAACAGTAGAGATGGTTAATGGCAAACAGCACAAAATGAACTCTTAACTACAGCCACGAACTCAGTCATAGCTATTATCTCTGACTTTTCGTTCCTCTTCTACAATCAAGTAGCAATACTGGTCTATCAGAGATAACATTTAGATCAGTGTTTCTCAACTTCAACTCCCAGAATTCCCCAGCCAGCATGAGAGTTGAAGTCCACACATCTTAAAGTTGCCAAGGTTGAGAAACACTGATTTAGATGATATTAATATTGATTTTAAACTAAAAAGAAAAACAGGATTCAAATCCCACTCAGCCACCCAGAGCTCTCTGAATGACCTAGCTCTCTAGGCAAAAGGCTGGAAAAGAACTTACTTGTCTCTCAGATATGGGGAGGAAATATGGCTGCCATAATCCCATATCACCTCAACTGCAGCAATGTAATATTGTCGGATTTTCCCAGTGAACATACGGGGATCCTGTTCCTCTTCTTCATAGATATCAAAGTCCTCCTTGGTCTCCTCTGTATTGCTATAATCATCATAGTCAAATTTTTCTTTCATAGGTCTTGAGATCCTTTTTTCTGCTGGTTGGTTGTCACCTAAGGGAGTTCTGGAGACCTTCACATGAAACCTGGCACCTGAATCCTTGCTGAATGAGACTCCCACTTCTTCCCTCCCTTCCTTCCCTTTGAATACTGGTGTTTCATCTCTTGAGATAGGAGTATCACTTTGTTCATCATTAAACCCATTCACTTCTTTTGAACTATTAATTTCCTTCAACGGCTGCCCTTGAATGGCCTGACTGAATGGTAGGTGGTCTTGAGAGAGCAGATCATTGGCAGCTGGAGCCTGTTGTGCTGAGATTTTCACCTCCTCCCTTTTAATGGTACCCTTCAAAGGTTCATTTCTTAACATTTGACCCTGATCCACACTAGACTTCCTCAGCTGCAACTGCAAAAGAGTTTCTGGGCCAGCTTGTCTCATAACTGGTGCATCTTTGGGAGTGCTAAATAGGCCAGATGTATGTATTTGTTCTGTGTTTTTTGGAGGAAGAGAGTTGGCTTCAGAAATGTTTCCATTTGCAAAAACAGCTGAAGCCAATCCTAGCCTCATTTCCATATTGTGGTCCTTTGTTTCTGTTCTAAAATTATTGGAAATCACGGTGGTATTGCTTACATCCTTCGTTGTTTGAGATAAATTTAGATCATGTTGGATTATGTTCAATAGGGAATAATATGAAGCTGTAGTTCTGTTATCATTTGTTATTTGATGATCTCCTTTAGCTCTATCTGTTAAAGGAGTCCTTGTTATAGAAACCTTGGTCTTATTGCTTGTCCTGAGGAAGTTGAGCAAAGGCTGAACTCTTTCATCCCTCTTGCTAGAAGTTTTTCTTTCCATTTCTGCCCTATCAGCTATTTCATCCAGTGTGACTTCCTGTGGTTTCACAGACCTCTCTCCCAACTGTCTACTGCAATCATGGGAACGCTGTTGACAGGACACTGACTTTATCCCATCTGTTGACTTTTCTGGGCTCTGTATGTTTAGTTTTGACTGACTCTCTTCTGTCTTAGAACTTGTACCCTTTCCCAGGCCAGCTAGTTGTGATGGAGAGGTACCTCCTTGGTGTAAAATATCCCCTTTTTCAGATGAGTTTATTTGGGGAATACTTAAAATTGTATCTGCTGACCTATTTTGTGTAACATTTTGATCCATAAATATATTCAGGGCTCCATGGGAATTTGTGACACTGGTCTTACTGGGTGCAACACTAAGTCTGGATATAGATTCTTTTCCTGAGAGAATGTTGTCTTGGTTCTTTTCTTGGAAATCTCCTTGGAGAGGCAAGCTATCTATTGTTTTATTAGTAGAAGAGGGATTTATAGGGAATCTATCATTATCATTTTCAATATCATTAATATAGAGGGCCCTGTCCATAATATCAGTCCATCTATCTGAATACATTGCCTCATCTTTCTTTAGAAATAAGGAATTTTCTTTGTTCAAAAGATCTGGCAACCCAACAGTTGGATTTATTCTGAGTTGCATAATCTTCTCACTCTCATTATCCTGAGGACTCTGTTTCATTGCATCAATTGCTTCATTGTGGGACACTGTATGAATACTATTATTACCAAGGAAAAAATCTTCACTTAAAGATGTAGAATTCTGTAGGTTTCCAGCACCATCGGTTGACCTGGGAATTCTGAAGCTAAGAGCCTCTCTAGCTAGGTTGGCTGCACTTGCTAATGAAAGATGGTTATGATGTGATGTTTCCTGTGCAAGGGATGAGTTTTCTGAAGGAGAGTGTTCTTCAAAACTTTGCTTCAATAGAGGCAATTGCTCTTCTATGGGGAAAGCATCCGTGGGCAAGATGTCAAACAAGGGTTCATCTAGGGATAAGGGTTCCCCAGGAGATATGAGTGGGTCATCGGAATTATTGTGATGGTTTTGTTTGAGAAGATGGTCAGGGGGTTCAAGGCGACCTCTACTTTTCTTGGAGAAACCTCTTGCCTGTAGGTTATTGGCTTCACTGATATAGTTTAGTGGAATGCTATCATAGTCCTGTTCATCATCGTCATCAAAATACTCTTCTTGGGGACATTCTAAAATAGTTAACTTAGCTGTCATTCCCTGTTTTCGAAAATCAGGATTCAAGCATCCCAGCATCCATTTGCCTGTCTCAGATAAAACCAAAACCAAACAAAACCAAGAAAGAAAATGAGAGGAAGATTTATATATTATATAAATGATATAATCCACATTATATCAGAGATGCACAATCTAGGGGCTCAGAGTTAATATGACCCTGCAAGCCTTGGGCATGGCCCTCAGAAATCTTCAAAGGTTATTACTAAATTGTAACAACTGGAGAAAAGGCTTAAATTGGGGATTGTGGCTTCTGGCATACCACTCAGAAGCCAAGAATGGCCTTCAGCCCCAAAACAGGTACACCCCTGTCACGCCTCTACCAGCAGAGTACAATCCAGAAATTAAGATTCATAATGAATCTCATTGGTTAGGTTTATTGTCGAGAAGGTAAGGGGCTAATATACAGCAAAAATGGAATAGGTCAAAACTCTAGCACTTATTTATTAGTGAATTCGTTAAGGTGGTTCTGAGAACTATTTGAACCTCTTTTTCATAGAATGAAAGATGGAAGGCTTGTCTTTTTTCTAGACTGAACTGTCTTTTTCCTAGATCTTTTTCCTAGACTGAACTGAAATGTCCATCACTTCATCATTAATAACATTTTCAGATACTCCTATTTCTTTCCCAGTCCCAACATCAGCCCCAAAGATCTCTCTGTTCTGCATCACTCAGCATTGGTTGCACTTTCTGCTAGTTATAATTCTTATCTGTCAGATTTAGGAGATGTCTAAAAGTTGGGCTACTTTGTTTCCAGGTGAGGTTTTTAATTGTGTCCTGTTTTATACCTGGAATTTGATGAAGGGACTAAATGATGATACGGGTTTATAACCCTCACGTTTTCCAACTATTTTCATCCATAGCATCTAGATGTCTTCTAGATGCTTCTGGATTCTGATTTGTAGCAACACCTACCCGAACCCATAGTCAATGGTCAGGAAGGGTGGGAATTCTAGCTCATCGCCCTCTGAAGGCCCCAAGTTGCTTCAAAGAACAATTGACATCAACCTAACCTGGATTGTCCATGCTCATGAAAACAGTCTCTCCAGAGAGAGGGAAGATTGTCAGGGCCTCCTCAAAGACTGTGTTGTGCTGAAAAGTGTTTCCAGAGAAGAAGACAGACAGGATCTCGGTCTGGGCACCCACATTCAGGACATACCAATAAACCACTTGGTTCTGGCAAAGTTCCATTTCAAGATTATCAAAGACATACCCATTGATACCTGGAAGAGGAGTGAGAAAAAGAATTCTGAAGCAAAAAGGCAAGAGTTTCAACAACACTAAAAAAAACCGTTGGCACCCTATGGACTGCTCATGGGAATTGATCCAAGCTATACGGAAAGTACCATGTCATCAAAGACTGGACTACAATCTCATTACCCCCAGCCAGCATGGCCTTTAGAAAATCCTGTTGCATCTAAGGATCTGGGACTGGATCTGGGGAAAGCTCCTCCCATCATTTATCGTCATCATCAACATTATTATCATTTTATATCTCATCTTTTCTCAGTGAAGCTGAGGTGGGTTACATGGAACTCTGCCTTAACTTTATCCCCACAATAACAATAGCCCTGTGAGATAGGTTAGACCAGGGTTTCTCAACCTTGGCAACTTTAAAATGTTGGACTTCAACTCCCAGAATTCCCCAGCAAAACTGACTGGCTGGGGAATTCTGGATGTTGAAGTCCACACATCTTAAAGTTGCCAAGGTTGAGAAACCCTGGGTTAGACTGAGAGAGTGAGTAAAGCCCAAAGTCACCCAGTTGCAGAGGATGGACTGGAACGTGCAACTCTCTGGCCCAAAACGTAATCACTACACTACACTGGTTCCCACTGAAAGGGGACAAGTATTTAGCTTTTTATATGGTCCTGCTCCAAAACTAATGTAAGGAAGAGGGGAAGTCACACACTCTTACATAATCTGCCCCATGGAAGGAAAAAGAAATAGCAACAACCTATTCTCAGTTTTTGAGCATAAGGAAATTTGGGATGCAACTTTGAGTAGCATTATTAGATCTTCCATAACAGCTCCAGCCACGTCTATGGGATGCACACATAACATTCTTATCTTTCTTTCACTGTTCTCCACACCACAATTTTTTTATTCTTCTGAGACTACTCACTGTACATGAGGTTGGATGCATAGAACTCCGGGTCCTGGGGATCAACATTAGCTGCATCGGAACAAGACTGATTGATATTCTCTGCCAAGTACCAGCTCCAATTTTCATCAAAGAGAGAAAACAGCACAAATCTTGCTTCATCAGATATCATCTGAAGGAATCACAAAAGTAGGGGATTAATAGGTGAGAACCTGGGTGGTGAACTAGAGACTAAGATGTTGGACCAGGAAGACCAACAGTTCCAAACACTTATTTGCTGATTTTAAGATTGCCACTATCTTTCAACCCAGTCTATCTCACGGAACTGTTCTTGTGGAGAAAAAATGACAAGAGAGAAGCTTGACCTCTTGGAATAATGGCAGGCTATGGATCAAAAGTTTCAAGTGAATTAGTTGCTGGTACAACTGTCTTGCTTCCTCCTAACAGTTTAAAAATGGAGGTGAAATGGAGAGAGGGACAAGAATAATAGGCTGTCCTGCTTCCCTCTGATGTATCTCTGTCTCTCTTGATAGAGTTCTAATCTCTGATTCTAATTCTGCTGCACAGCCATATCTGTTCTTCCTCCAGAAAGGGACCTCATTAAAGGACAAATGGCCCTGGGAGCAATCTTTGCCACCAGAAGAACAGTACAGTTCTAAGGCACACACCTTGCTTTACTACTGTTGATGGTCAAGTAGCATCCTAAATCAGATGACTGCAACATATTGTATGTGGGGCTGATTCTGGAGATGATTGAGAGATTTCAGTAGATGCAAAAGATCATGGTCACACTGTGATGAAGAGTCACCATTTCTTTGCTGCTCTTATAAAATATTCTCCACCTCATTTCCAGATTCTTTCTGGGTATAACCTAGAAGTGCTACTTTTCACCCATTAAGCATTTAGACACCTGTAAGAGCCAATGGAACAGGCTGCCAGATAACGTGCTGATTCCTCTTTTGTTTGAAAGTCTTCAGAGGTTGGATCGCCGTCTGTCAAAGATGCTATAGTGGACCTGCACTGAGCTAGATGTTGAATGAGATGACCTTTCATATCTCTTCCAAATCTATGCGTCTATAATTGGAGGAGGAGGAGGAGGAGGAAGGGAGGGGAGCAATTATATGGGTAGGAATAGCAATTATTAATACTAATAGTGCTTTTTCCTCCAAATGAGCAATATGGCATACGTGATACGATCCTGTGGAGTAGGTTGACTGAAAAATAGTGACTATCTCGAGAGCACCCAATGAGTTTCCATGGCTGAGTCCTACTCCAATACTTTAACCCAGTGTTTCTCAACCTTGGCAACTTGAAGATGTGTGGACTTCAACTCCCAGAATTTCCAGGCCAGACGTGTTGAAGTCCACACATCTTCAAGTTGCCAAGGTTGAGAAACACTGCTTTAACCATTTCACCACCTTGGCTATATAAGAGTTCCTTGGAAGCAAGATGAAAATGTAACACCAGATACCATGTTCACAAGGTGTTTAAAGACTGGAGCTGAAAGCGACCACAACGTTCACCTGAAGCAACTCCACATGGATGGAACAGAGGGCTGCATCTTAACTCTTGAGGTCTGTCAAACAGTTCTGAAGTCTCAATTCTCAAGGGAAGCATGAACAATCTAGTATATCCAGGCATGATGTATGGGTAACCTAGGGTTATCATCAAAACATTCCAGTTGTTTCTGTCACGATGTAGCAAGGAACAAACCTGATTGCCTCTCAGATCCATGGTTTCTTTAAAACAGATCAGGAGGGGTCCAATAAGCCCAGATGCTAAGGATTTAGCAGGTCTGAATGAGCTGTAATAGTAGCGAGTCAGGCATTTAGGATCAGATCTGGTTGGGCCATCTTCAGGCATTATTTGCCACCTGTATGCAAACATCTGTTTAGGTCGTACGGCTATCAACTTTATATTCTGATCTAGGAGGAAACAAACCACAAATTGTATGGCTGAGTTTACTACTGGTTTGCTGTAGCCAAGTTTGTTTAACAGCTAAGCCATGGTGGCCTAGATAACCCACTATGCTAAGCCATAAACCACAGTGACTAGATTCACATAATATGCTGAGCCAAAACCAAACACATGATCAACCAGGCCATTTACTTAATAGATTATTGATCAAGCAGTTTTGGATCCATCATCTACATCAGTGTTTTTCAAACTTGGCAACTCTTAGATGGGTGGACTTCAACTTCCAGAATCCCCCAGCCAGCAAGGCTGGCTGGGGAATTCTGGAAGTTGAAGTCCACCCACCTTAAGGTTGCCCAGTTTGAAAAACATTGATTTACATGTTTCCTGTGCTTTCCATAAAGGGAGCCTCCACTACAAGGCAAAGTATCAGAGAGTCCAGTAACACCTCTTCCAACTAACACATTTTGTTAAAAGGCATAAGCTTTCTTGAGTTGAAAAGGTATTGCTGTATCAGACTCCTGATTTTGTTGCTCCCATAAACTGACACAGCTTTCCTCCTACAATGGCTCTTTTCCACAAGGGGGCAGCCGTGGTCTTTAGAAATGCAGATGGTAATTTAGTTGGGGAGGACAGATTTACAGCCTTGAGACAGATCAAGTTGGGAAAATTGCTTGATTGGAGGAGGGTGGAAACTACTGTCAGCAAATAAAGCCCAGGAATGACGGAAGAAGAAAAGAAAATTTGTCAATATTCCAGTAAAGGAAATGTGCCAATATTCCAGTCTTCCCCCAACAACCATGGTAGCTGAGATTTGTGGACTTTGAAACCCAACACAAACTGGAGGAGGCTGGCCTAGTCTGCAGCTGGCAAGCCTCCTTTGTGTTTCAGGCTTCATATTCAAATACAATCACCTTCCTAATCTTGAAAGATACAAAGCTGGCTTGAGATACAAAGAGGCACCATTCCTGCTTTCTCCTCCTGGTTAGCAGGCCCAGAATAAAGGATGTCATATTAAGCAAACAATGAGCATCTTACATTGGCCACAAATGCTTGACTTATCATAATGTCTGATTTAGCACAGGATGCAATATTCAGACCAGCTTCACAGATCAAGCTTGAGGGCTCAGCATGATCTGTGCACCATCTTGGCTTGTTTAACACCTCCCTCCCTCACCCTACTTTTGCATGATGTGTGAATGCAGCAAGATCATCATGCCCACAACCCTCCCACAGCCATCCCCCAAGAGATCCCCATCTATCAATCTTACGTCGGGGATTTTCAATACGGTGAAATGCAGTGACATTGGTGATTCCATGAGGGTAAATGTTGTAGGGCCGGCTGGCCAAGTTCTTAAATACAATCTGAAATGAGACAGTTTGACATTCCATTCAGTGTCTTTGCAGCATTCCAGATATGGAACAAAGTTATGTATCAAATCTAGCATACTAGATCAATGGGAACCTGTGGCCTTCAGTTCCAGTTCTATCTCAATAGTTAGAGGAATGAAGGCTGAAGTCCAGTGACATGCAGAAGAGTATTTCTTACACTTTTAAATACCATTTCTCCAAAGAATGATATACTTTAAATTTTCCAATGTTCTGCAATAATAATAAATATTGCAGCGAATAGGGGAAAAAAACTGAATTGATTTCTTGGGTTCCAAGTGTTTCAAAGTCTTTAGAAATATGGATTAATAGAATGCATTGCTAGCGCTGCACGTGCTTCAAATACCATTCAGAAGGCAGATCTGGGCTTTGCATGAATTTGGAGTTTTACAGTTTATCAGGAATTGTGGTCATATTGAACACTTGGGGTGGCAAAAAGAATTATATTAGGAAATTGGAAAAGTGATATTATTCCTGAGGACAAGGAATGGTTGCCAGAAATGTGTCATCTATTTGTTTTGGAAAAGGCAATATTTTCTACCAATCGAAGGATGCAGCAATATGTGTTATTAGGGCAGAGATTTTGTGATATCTTACAATAATATCTTGTATTGTTTATATTACTGCAGTGAATTCATTGTTAAACCAGTGACTATTGATAAGTATAAATATTTCCTTCTTGGTTTGTATCTTTAGTTTGTATTTTTAATTTTTTTTAAAGTTTCTTTTTTTTTTTTGGTCAGATTAAAGATTGTTTTGTTACAATAAATAAATATATATATATTTAAAAAATGAATGCAAGCACAGCACCTTTCTTAAGGATTTTTCTCAGGCTTCGGAGTCATATTAACTAGAATGAAGGGATTTTTTAAGTAAGTGACTCCCCTTCTCTTCAAGCTTTCTGAAAACAGTTTGGTTGGTCGGTTGGTTTATTTAATGCCATTATTTATCAACTGCCCATTTCCCTCAAGGACTTGAGGGGGGTTACAATCAATAAAAACAATCAGTTTATCACTAATTAACTAAAGCAGACCTAGTGGCGTCAACACTGATACACTCTGCGAGAAAAAAAAATGAGGTGGTTTAATGAATTGGTAGAATTTGAATTGGCAGAAAATCAGTGTAAGAAAGACTTTGTTCTAACTGACTGTTACGAATGTGAGTAGAACAAAGCTATCATGCACATCACTCTTATTGATTCAGATTATTGAATACACGTTATCCCAGCATTTTATTCACGCTTGTAATGTTCCGACACATTTTGAAGCAATGCCTCTTCATTGGGAGACTGAAAAAATAAATAAATTACCATAATTCACTAAACATTACAAGAGTGAATAGAACTCTGGCATAATGTGTATTCAATAATAAAGTCTCTGTGATATCAATTTCCCCCCTTTTTCATCTATTTGGCTGATATAGTTCTTCTGTTTACTCTCAACTTTCATGAACATCCCTGAGATGCTGTGAGGTCCTAAGGGTTTCTTTGGGATCAATTTCAAAGTGTGCACAAGTCAAATTGATTATCAGAGATGGCTGATAACCCTCAACTATTTTCAACCAAAAAGAATAACTCAATGATCCGAATGCTTCAGATATAGTCCATAAAGATTTTGGTAATGTAACTATAGAAGGGTAAATTCTCAGCTAAAAATTGTTTTTATCATGAAGTCTTGATGGCTCACCAAAGTGGATTTAGAAGACTGTGAGAGCTCTTAGGCCAGTGTTGTCCAAACTTGGCCACTTTAAGATGAGTGGACTTCAACTCCCAAATTCCCCATCCAGCATGGCTGGCTGGGGAATTCTGGGAGTTGAAGTCCACTCATCTTAAAGTGGCCAAGTTTGGACAACACTGGCCTAAGGGATGGGGAATTTGGGAGTTGAAGTCCACTCATCTTAAAGTGGCCAAGTTTGGACAACACTGGCCTAAGGGATGGGGAATTTGGGAGTTGAAGTCCACTCATCTTAAAGTGGCCAAGTTTGGACAACACTGTCTTAGGCAGTGGAACAGCCTGCCTTCAAAAGTCATGGGCGTTCCATCACTGAAGGTTTTCAAGAAAAGATTGGACAGCCGTTGATCTGGGATGATTGGACAGCCATTGATTTGAGGATTCCTGTGCTGGGCAGGGTTTTGGACTACACAACTTTTAAGATCTCCTCCAACCCTATGGTTCTATGATATTCTAAGGGTTCCAGACTGACCCAAAGTGATTTGTCTCCACGGCACTAATCTTTTTCTACTGTTGTGAGAGCACTGTCAGAGAAGACCATCTTCTCTTCATCACTTACAATAAACTCGTCACCGACTTCTCCTTTGAGGACAGGTCCCAGGATGCCCATGTGATCTGGTTTGGGTGGCTTCCGCTTACTGAAAGTTGCATCCTCATATTCCACAAACATTGCTTTCTTATACTTGGACCCGATCCGCTGGGGGCCATTTTCCAGAAACTTACTGTAAGTGCTGCAGAGGAGAACAGGAAGGCGGGGATGCAAGTCAAGAGAATTTTAGATCTGTAATGGCTTGGCAAGCCCCTAGTTACCTGAATGCCTTTTTATCCATTATTTACAGCAACATAAAATGCTCTGCCTGGCGTGTTCAATTTTACCCCCATTTACATGGTGCTGACTATGTTGCTTGTCTTGTTCCCACCCCATAATTTTTCCAACTTTAACTTGTTGCTTTCCATTCTGTTATAACCTGATCCCTCCTCCTGAATCCCCCATGATAGATAAAAGAATTAGCACTTTCCTTTCCACTCCTTTTCACAGAAGTAGCAACCCTCTAGTGTGGCCTGTCCATTCGAATTTGTCCGTCTCTATCCTATTGGACAACTGTCTACTTGTAACAGGGGCCAATCCTTTGATGATTCATCATAACAATAGCTTCCTAGGCCTAACGAATTGATGGAATGTCTAGCAGATCCTGGATCCACAGGAAAGGAAACAGGACTGTTGCAAAAGACACACAGCCCAGGAAAGGCAGAAGTGTGAGAAAGGTTTAGAGTACCTCCACCTTAATTATGCTAGGTATAAATTGATCTGGAGAATTACCATAGCAGGCTTTCGAGAATCTGTAGTTTACTATCAGTAAAAGTCTTTCTTGTTCCTGAGTTTGCCAAACATGAAAGGCTTGATATCTATATACTATTAAAACTCTCATTCTGTTTGTCTGTTTGTATCCTCAAGTTAGCCCAAGCTGGGCATTATACTGCAACAATTTTTGAATCAAGGTACCTAAAATCCACTAAATTAAAGAATGCATAAAAAATCCAAGACCCAAATCTCCTTTGGAATTGAAATTTCCATGATGTTCAGACCAGTTTTATTTGCAAAGATGTGGCCATTGGGCAGTGTCCCTGCGGTCACGTGATCGTGATTTCCAACACTCCCTGCCCGCTTCTCACAAGCAAAGTCCATGGGGAAGCCGGCAGGCAGTGGGAAGTTGCTCTCGCTCCCTCTGCTTTTTTGCCTGCCCGTAGCAATTCTGTTTATCTAAGTTAGTAAATAGTGACTTATTATTGAAGTTCATTTGCCACTACAATTATTTTTCTATTTATGATATATATTCTTCTTAGATGATCACAGGACCATCCAGCATGGGGTAAAAAAAATATGGTCAGCCTAAAATTTAATGTTCATTCTGGTCACATCAGACTGTACCACCTTTCTCCCAGAGGATGACCCAATGAGTCACAGGGTTGTCTAGTAAACATAAAAATTGCTTGAGGTCATTACCTGTCCATGTTAGTAGGCTTTACTGGCGCATAGTCCCAATCACCTTCCTCTGCAGCAATATAATGCCTCCAAGTCACAGGCAGTTTTTTGGCACGAGAACGCCCAGCAATCCTCGGTGAATCCAAGTCTATCACCGTGCTTTCCATATCCTCCTCCTCCTCATAATCATAGTTGTCCTCATCCGCAGATGGTTCTGCCATCCTCATCTTCTTCTCAGGAGGTTCTGGACAAACTTCCACTTGAATGAAGGCTTTCATGCCAGCTGGAAGCCAAGGGTAAACCCAGATATTAGCCAGGTTTCACCTTCCTTATTGTCAGGTTCAGCCCAAAGAACTCCACGAGACAATGCAGTACAGTTCTGTTGCGTTTATTAGCTTCACCTCAGTACAGAAATCTCTCCAGACTGAACCTCAGTTCCCAAGCCGGCAAGCCACAATATCCTGAATTCCTTAGGGTGGTGCCAGTCTCATCTTCTTAAACTTCCCATGCTCCTGTTGAGGGCTAAGGAAACGCTTATCTCCCTGAGCGTGGCCTTCATAACAACATTCCATCACACTTATGTTGGAAATCAAGACCTAGTGCCTGCTGAGATAGTCAACCTGCACTTCACATCTGGTGTATATTACTCCCAAATTGCCTGTTACTGAATGCTCCTTTTCCATACAACATGATCTGCATGTGACAGATTCACATTAGGAAGACAGTTTTACTAGATCAAGATCTCAAGATCTATTTTTCCATGGGGAATCAAATTTTTATATGGAGTTTGAGCATCTTGAAACGACAGTCTCAGTAAAGGGCTATGGCCAAAACAAAGATTGATTGCTTGAATGTGATATGAAAATTCCAAAGTCAGATGCCCAGGTTCCAGCAGTGGCACCAGAGAACTGAATTTGGAGAGCCTTTTTGTAGATGCTTTCACAGAATGGTTGCTCTGAGTTGGGGAAGCTTGCAAGTGCCCAGAATGTCTTCTGTGGTGGGCATGGCCAATCCCAAACCATCCATTTATCAAGAGCAAACTGTTGCGAATGGAAACTGAGAATCTCTCTAGCATCCCTAGCTTACCTTGGTCCTTTTTTAGGACAGGTGAGCACACGTCCAAATAAAAGACTAAGCAACAGTTACCAACAATTTTTATTTTCTGAGAAGACCCATGCGACCTAGGAAGGTCCCAAAGGGATTATCAGAAATAAAGAGATTTGCATTTTGCTTTGAAACCTCCATATAATTGTGGATTTTTAAAAAAAATTAGGTAGGGCAAGGATCTTGGTGGATGTCCAGGGAGATTCCTCTGGGTATATACATGTCTACAAGCACTAGGTTGCCTACTACTCTATAAAGCCCACCATTTCCAACTTGTTTATGTTTCAGCTAAGGAAAATGAGAGTCACACATTGATACCTTCAGTGGTGTTGTTGTTTAAGTTCTAAAAACAGGTACCTTGCTGATGTGATGGAATCTGGCAGAACATCTGAAATGTGCCATTAGTTCTGGGTGTTGTCTCGGCAGTGAGGAAAACGGCGGGGGAAATGTCCAGAGTGGCATAACGATGTTCTCTCACCAGAAAAGTGTGACCTTCAAAAAGTATGGAGTGGACTTCAGGCATGGTGCCCAGGCCAATGACGTACCAATAGACAGGCCTCTTCTCACACAGCTTGAGACCTGCAGGAAGAGAAAAGAACAATGTTCTTGGCGAGATGTTTAATAATGCTCAAGGTTATGTGTGGGAGAGACATTGGACTGCAAACTTCTAACTTTGCATTTTTAAACCAAGGGATGGATCCAAACTTAAATTAGCATTCAAAATTTGCCCTTCACAGAATTATGCCATGCTGTTAGCTAATAATAATTATCAAAAAAATGATATAAATATATTAAGGAAAAGCCTATACAAAAATGCATATGTTCATGGAAATAATGTATCAAAATGCATTATATTAGGGCAGATATAATTACAAATGGAAAATACATATGTTGGGAGAAATGTGCACTAATGTGCATACTTAGGGTGTAATTTTAAAAATAAATGTTCAAGAGGGATAAACTAAACTTGACAGTCACAAAAATGAAGAACGGAAGCCAACTTTGAGCCAGCTGTCTTTTCTAATTTATTTATTCATTCAATTTCAATTTCATTCAATTTATTATTATCAAATGACATGATCCAAGTGGTTCTTCCATAGGCCCCAGAGAGGCCTTGCTTTGGTCTCTGGGAGCCCAGTTACATCAGGCAGACAAAGACTAAAAAACTCTTCAAGTTGTAAGAAATACCACATTTTGATCTTTATGTTTTTCCCCCCAAATGCCAGTATTTATCTAACTCATATATATGGACTATATCCAGTGCCATGTATTAGCTGACATGTTTCATTTAATGTGCTGTTCTTATTGCCAGAAAGTACTGAGTGCAGCAGTTGGGGGTTTGGCTGGCAAGGAGGGGCCATGGGGATCCAGGGAGCAAAATGTGAAACCAGGAGTCATAAGGAGCCATAAGGAGTCAAACACAGACGTTGCACTATTACAGCCCAGTCATTGTGGTCTTTCTAGTGACGGGGAGCCAATGACCAGGGAGGGTAAATTACCTTAAAGCAACATGGAGAAGCACAGAATCAAGAATCAAGAAGGCACTGAATGAACTTTTCAGTCTTGGTCCCAAGGATACGCATGGAGACCAGGTGTTCAGCAGTGCATCTAATGCTTCTTTCTCTTTTTCTTGAGGAAAGGAAGGAATTGACTCTTACCAGGCAGAGAATAATGAATGAACCCATTGATGGTATGAAACTGTAGCTGATTAGATGGAGACTTCGAGTTTCCTCTGATGTGAGATGGAGAATACCAGCTCTTCTCTGATAGGTGACATTGAAGAGAGAGAGAGAAAAGTTTGCAAGTGGTAGAGTTTAATTCCAGGTCCTTCAAATCATCAAGAGAAGAGTCCACCACTACCCACCATTTCAGTCCCACTTTGTAACACAGACGAGGTTTCTACATCCCATTGAATCATGGTTTGTTTTAACTGGGATTTGTTAAGCAAGCTACAACAGCACAGTTTACATCATTGTTTACATACATTGCGGTTTACCACTGACCAAGTTCATACCATGTGCTAAACCAAAATAAAAATAACAACCTGTAGCATTACACAACAGTGTATCTGTGGCAAGCCACAACAATGTCAAAATGAGGACGCAAATGACATGATGACAAATGGCATGTTATATAATGGTGCCATGTCTGATACAAGGACATGGGTTGGGTCATTGTGTCATGATATCATGACACACATCTCATCATTTGTGCCTCCTACCCCTGAGGGATGCCTATGATAAAAACACACTATGGTTTATCGCTGATGGGTCAATCACAGCCTGTATCTGTTTTGCATGTATTTCATTTTTTCACCTATAGAAGATGCATGTTACGTATTCCAGGGAATTAATGCAGTCTTAATATCAATTCTGGATGCCTGGTTTAGCATCCTCAGAATGCTTTGTCTCCTTCCAAATTATTTCTATTTTTAAAAATTACTTTTAGAAACTTTATATGCTCCTGCTCTCTTCTGGGTGGCTTATAAAAATTCAGTAAAAGCAATCAGAAAAACAAAAAATAGAAAACACTAAAAACGGATACAACATGCACTTCAATTAAAAGATCTAGGTAAGTACATAAATGTGTGTGTGTGTGTGTGTGTATGCATGTGTATCTTTGTGCCTCCAAATTAGTCTTCAGTCCTGGAAACTACACGGACAAGTCCCTGCAGTTTTCTTGGCAAGGTATTTCGGAAGTGGTTTGCCATTGTGTCCTTTCAAGGGCTGAGAGAGAGAGACTGGCCCAAATTCACCCAGCTGGCTTCATGCCTAAGGCAGGACTAGATCTGATGGTCTTCTAGTTTCTAACCCAGTGCCTTTGACCACTACATCAAACAAGGTTTCAAATATATATTTGAATATATATACCCCATTGAATAAGGAAGAGGCTTGCTTCAACTCCAATGGCAATGCATTCCTTAACACGGTCCCATTACAGGAAAAGCAGAATTAGACACTGAAGTTAAACTTTTTGGGGTGGAACTTATAACCGTTTTCTTACTGCTGCAGAGGAGATTGTTTTGGAAGACATGCCAGTCGTCACTGAAGTTTGGGCATAAGCCATGTAATTGTATCCTGCCTTTCTGCCCAGACTTGCAACCTCGGGTAGTCTAGAAGCCAGATTTAAACTACAGGTAGTCCTCGACTTATGACCACAGTTGGGACCAGAGTGTCCATCGCTAAGTGATACAGTTGTTAAGTGAGTCATGCCCAACTTTACTACCTTCTTTGCCGCAGTGTTAAGCAAATCACATGGTCGTTAAACGAATCTGACTTCCCCTATTGACTTTGCTTGTCGGAAGCCCCCTAGGAAAGTTGCAAATGGTGATCACATGACCTTGGGATGTTGCAACCATCATAAATACATGCCAGTTGCCAAGTGCCCAAAATTTTGATCACGTGACCGTGGGGATGCTGCAACAGTCACAAGTGTGAGGATGAGTCATAAGTCACTTTTTCAGCACTGTTGTAACTTCGAATGGCCGTTAAATGACTGGTCGTAAGTCAAGGACTACCAATAAAATAAAAAGGAATTCCCTTGGAATCTGCTACATTAAATGGCACAGTGCAAATAACCAAGAGATGTAATGTAGAATGTTGGTGAGACATGAAGAATTAAGCCATTAGAAACAAGCGAAGCCTAAATCCCAAAGAAAGGTGTATTGACTGATGATGATTTCATTCAACAGAGCGGGTATGCAAACACACGTACAGGGTGGGCACATCCATGCCCCTTTTCTCTCTTCCCTCCCATTCCTCTCTTACCTTCATCAAACACCGAAAAAAGCAGGACGAATTCTTGCATTTTGCCCCAGGATTTTATACTCGTCAAAGTCCCTGCAAGGGAGAAACTCTGTAGAATCATCAAAACAACACTGCAAAGAGACTTTCCACATTATGTTAAGCAGGTGAGTATTTTCTAAACGGGAGCAAAACAGGAATCTTGAAACGACTTCATTCTCTACATCAGTGTTCCTCAACCTTGGCAACTTTAAAAGGTGTGGACTTCAATTCCCAGAATTCCCCAGCCAGCCAGTTGAAGTCCACACCTCTTAAAGTTGCCAAGGTTGAGGACCCCCACTCTACATCATCTGAATACTCATCCACATTATACCCAGGTAACTAGACGTTTTACAAACGCATTGGGTTGTCTCAAGCCACCCTTTACTTCTCAGTCCTTACACTTTCTATATTATGCTCTGCACAATAGAGATCATTTTTTTTCTGATTTTACCGTGCTATTATAACTAAAATCATGCACGTGGATAGTCTACCGAGATAATATATGGGATCCAATTGGAATATTTCAGAAAAAATGCTATCTAAATACCAGGTTTTATGATAGGAGCATATCTGAAATGTCAAAAACATTTGTAAAAACATTACACAGCTGTTCCACATTTCTAGTGGAAAATGCCTAAAGATTTTTAAAGTACCCAGTCAGACTGGATCTGTAGGTGTGGTATGAATCTATGGACCTACTGTAAAATCACAGACATTACTGAATGAATGCTTGGAGGTCCACGTGCATCTGAAGAAAACTTGGTATATGGATGAGCAGTTCTCAAGAGGATGGTCTTCCTCTATCACCTGATCTTACCTGGCTTACAGACCAGCAGTGGTCCAATCAATCCAGAGTTAGTATCCCTGACACTGTCCACATGAGAGGAGTAGGCGTAAGTTAAGCAGTGTGTATCCGATCCAGTTGGCCCTTGATCTTCTAAGATCTCCCACACATAGACATGGGTTTGACCAGGCCCCACAGCATCATCTTCTTTCTCTAGCCGGCTGGTTTTATCATCATAGCCTGCCCCTGAAAATGTATAAGCACTGACATCACTGAAATCCAGTAAGGACTATGACGGTTGAGGTCGCACAGCACACTAAGCCAGAACCATACAAAATACACTACAGCTAAATCTGATGGCAGAACCTGATTGTACTCTTGGTCTGGCTCATGAGTAGAGAGTTGAGCAACTAGTGACAGATGTGTCCTTGATGCCCTTCCTGACTCACCTAACCTTTGTTCCTAAATTCAATATATAAGAAGAGCCCAGCTAAGCTCACCCAAAGGAAGAAGATAAAGATGAGAAGGATTTATATTCCATTCCAGAAAGGTCAAAGTGGCTAAGAGGGAACAAATAGACAAACTAATTAAAACCTAATATGAAATATATCTTTAAATTTGCTGAATTTGCTGAAGCTAAACAGCTGTGGAACTGGCTGGTCATTCAGACCCAGGTGGTGATCATAGGAATATCCTTATAAGACTGGACATATAATACGAATGTATTTGTATAATATATACAAAAATCATTGACATTATCTATGCTGTCAACTTTCTCTCCAAGGCAACTTTTCATTAAGAACTTATGTTTATCTTGGATATCTGTTCCTATAACTATGTAGTGTAGGAATTAGCATGCATAATCTAGATGGATGGAGACTTTCTCTCTCTCTTCCTCTCTTTCCATCCATCCAGACCAAACATGCTAATTCCTGAACCACTTAGTGGTGCACCATAATCTCAGATGAACTTCATGTCTGAACTGAGACTCAAAATATCTTTATTAATCATATCTATATTTATATTATCTATATCTATCTATGTTGTTTAGGATCCACATGTGTCTCATTTGAAATCACAAGAACAAGGTAATGGTGGTAGGCGTGAAAAGAATCTGAAGAACGTGCAAGAGGGACAGTACCGGTGTCACTCTTACCTTCAGAAGCTTTCCAATAAGACACTCCTTTAGCGTGAATATTGAAGGGTCGTGAAGCCAAATTCTTAAAGGTAACAACCACCTTGTCATAGACTTCAGCTTGGATGATGGGGCCCAAAAGACCTAATGAAAAGAAAAAAGATTGGTTCAGGCTGGAGAGAATAGTTCTGCTGATTGTGAAGGAAAGGTGAGGTGGGAATCAGACTTTAGAATTGCCCCCCCCCCCCAGCCCCCTTTAGTTGAGCAACAAGAAATTCCAAGGATGAGGTTGGATTTCTTTGGGTGAAAGTGACATGTTCTTTCTTTATTTGCAAATCTTTGAAACCTTTGCTTTATATACACACTATTGTTACAGGCTCATGGCTACTACTACATGATCTGCTGAATGTGCTTCTTTTCCTGTAATAAATCTTCCTCAACTACATAAAGAGCATGGCCCCATTTATAAACTTGGGTAAACAAGGCATACATGATCTTCCAGGCTTCTCTTGATCTTTTAACTTCCTATATTAGTATGCAAACTTGAAATATGGTGAATATGTTGTTTGGCATTTCATTGTTTTTAACGTGTGACCGTACATCGGTAAATGATGGGTGCAAAAATAAAAGCTACCAGTAGAATAGGGCTTCAGCTAAGAAAGACTTTCTGGTGCAGATTTGACAGGGGGAAAATTTAGAAATCTTTTCTAGTTCTACAGTTGATAGTTGTTAAACTATCATTACATTCAGAATGGAAACGATAAAAGGTAAAATCATGCAACGTATAAAGGAAAGCAAAGAAAATAAAATATCTGGACAGATAAATCACAATATCAATTAACCTATGGTTAAAAGCTTAGGCAAACAAATCTGAAAGTATCATCTAAAAATAAATAGAGTGTCAAGAGAATATACTGTAGAACAGGGTTCCTCAACCTCAGCAACTTTAAGATGGGTGGACTTCAATTCCCAGAATTCCCCAACCAGCATGGCTGGCTGGGGAATTCTGGGAGTTGAAGTCCACCCATCTTAAAGTTGCTGAGGTTGAGGAACCCTGCTGTAGAAGATTTCCAAAGAGAGGGCCACCTCACTTTGTCTTCTCTCTTCTCAAGACTTATTTCAGAAGATGGCAGAACTAGAGCAGAGTTAAACTGACCAGGTTGATCTGGAAACAGGCAACAGCCCTACAAACTGGTCGGAATGTAAAACTTTGTAGTTTAAGTCTGTGCACTTTGACTTCTGCTTGGAAATGAACCTGAAGCTAATGTAGCTGTTTAACCATTATCAAGATAGTCTCCCTATCTCTTCCCAGTTAGTAAATAAGATAATGTATTCTGCACCAACTCTAGTTCCCAAGCAGTCTTCAAAGACAGCCGCATGGACCCTGTATTAAGACATTTTTCAGTGCATGAGTAACTCCAGTCAGGCACCTAAATTGAGCTGAGAAGACTACCTATCTTATTTGCAAAAAGAAGGCTCCTTAGCTTACCCATCCAAGCAGGCTTGGGTTTTATTTCTCTGAAGGTAGAATCTGTGTATTCCAAATAAATTGCCTTCTTATATTGATGGACTAGGGCAGAGGAAGACAACCTAAGAAATTAAAAGGAATTAGTCAGAGAAAAAGGTTGAGATCAAAAAGATTGATGTCCACACTTCACGTCCTGCATTGTTGATCAGTATTGTTAGGAGGGTTTCAACTCAGATAATCCTCAGCCATCATGGCCAAATTGCCATGGGGTTGGGGGAACAACACCAGGTTGGGGAGGGTTGAAAAAGCTGGTGAGAGAAAAATGAGAAACTTGGTGTGTGGCACAAGAATGTATGAAAGCAAAGTCTCTTTCATGTTGGCTTGTCTCTTGTGGAGCTGCTCCATAGTCACACTCCTGTAGTTTTCTTGATGATGGTATGGAAGTGGTTTGCTTTCTTCTAGGATGCTTCCCCACCCCATCTAACCCACATTCTTGGGGTGTTTGATCCAAGGACTAGCAAAGCTGACCCTAGCTTTGTTTCTCCAAAACTAGCTAACGTCAGCTAGATGCCACCACCTGCAGTCATGTGAAAATACATGACCTCTCAAATTTAGGGCTTGAAAATGGGCTTTGTAACAATAACTTGGGCAGTGTTATAGGGACAGTTAGCAAAATGTTGTAGTTAGAGGGCTCCCCTTCCTCCTCCCCCCGTCATCACCAGTCTGTTTGTCCCACGGCCTCAAGAAACTCAATGTTTCAGAGCTGCCAAGCAACGTTTCAGTCGCATGGTTCTGAGCGTTCCATGCCAAAGGTCAATGGCCAAGTGAATCACTTGGCCCAATGACTTTTTAAAATATATTTTTTAACATTTCTCCACAGTGGGTGTAGGATTTAATCATTAGCTGGTGTCCAGCTTATTTATTTTATATAGGAATGCACATATGAGGGAAACAGATAACGGAACCCATCATGACTGCCTTGTCACAAGGAGTATCTGGAAACTTCGAAGGACCACTGACTATCAGAGGTCAAATATCCAAGCCTGCTAGGAACAGGCTTGGCAGGCAGGCAGGTTTCCAAGGTTTTTCTCTAGGATGACTCAGACCAACCAAGGAAATCCGGGAGTTAGGAGCAACTGCAAAACAAATAAGGGGAGCTGTGGCTTTTGAGGAGAACATTTTCAGGAGTCATTAATCAGTACAAGTATTACAGACGTCGCTACAACTCTACTGCCCCCCCCCCAAATCTAGTTCAGCATCAAACAAAGGGGTTTCCTCATTTTAGACTTTGGGGACAGACCACTTTTAATCTGAGCAGCACCACAAAAACACAAGGCAAGATAGCTTAGAGTCAAAGGACAAGGTGGATAAAGAAGGATCCCAAAGGTCCAAACGTTCCTGCTAAGAGTTACACTGCCTCTTTCCAAGGTCAAAAAAGTAGTCGGATGAGAAAAGCCAAGCTGCAAAGAGAAAACATTTTGGATGGTTGGAACATTTGGAGCGTTTAGGTGCCTTTGGTCTGCAAAACCCCAGATCCTGGCCAAAAAAAACATGGTATGCCATTGTGTTCAAGATTCCAATCACAATTTGATCTTCCCTAGCTAGGAAACAGAACAGTGACCTCTGGGGAAAGAAGTAACTGTGCTATGTACGAGGAAGCCGTTGACTGCTTTGGGGCAACCCAGTGGAGAAAAGTTGAGCAACAAGTCTTGGGAAAGGTTATAATAATGCCATAAAATTATCTTAATTCTTAAATGACAACTTTCTGTTTTTCTGAAGCTATGTCACGCTACCTCATTTCTACCATGTTCCAAAATGCATTGTTGTTCTTTTCAATATAATATATTGAATATATAATATACTGTATATTCAATATAATAGATAAATTCCATTGTTTTGGTAGCATGTTGGT